CCTATCCCCGCTCCCGTTCTTGTTCTTGTCCCGTTCCCATCCCTGCTCCCGTTCCGTTCCCATCCCTGCTCCCGTTCCGTTCCCATCCCTGCTCCCGTTCCCATTCTTGTCCTGTTCCCGTTCCCGTCCCGTTCCCATCCCCGCTCCCATTCGTGTTCTTGTCCCGTCCCATGTCCCATTCCGTGTCCAATCCCGTTCCCATCCCCGTTCCTGTTCTTGTCCCGTCCCTCTCCCGCTCCAGTCCCGTCTCCCCATCCCGTTCCCGTCCTCTCCCTGCTCCCGGCCCATCCCTCCGGTAACGGAGCTCGCTGCTGCCGAAGGCGAACGCCGTTTAATAGAGGACTGATGATGAACATTCTTAATTGCAAAGCCAAAACCGCCAAGAATCGTGCAGCTGTCCCCGCCCGTGCCTCCATTCCCGACGGCAGCCGGACAGGGAAGGGTTCGGTGTTGGAGGAGAAAGCTGTGCCAGAAATCGTTCCAAGGACACGCAGGTTCTCCCCGTGCTCTGACACCCTGAAACAGCCTCTGCCACGGCTCTTCCTGGCCTGGAGACCTGGCATGAGAGATTCCTGCCTTCTCTGGCAGGGAGGCTGGAATTTAAGGCATGAAGAGGGCTGGATTTTCACCTGAGTATGGTGCTTCTGGTCTGGCAGAAATGCAAAGCATCCAACTCCTCCAACTGTCCCGGTAGGAAAAGCAAACACTGTAACCCCAAAACTCTTAACAACCTGTAACTGACAGCCCAGCCCTTTGGAAAGCTCTGGAAATCACCCCAAAACTGGAGGGGTTCTGGGGCAAGGCAGGCTCTGAGCTCGGAACCACAGCCCAAAGGCACTGCTGAAACCTTGTGCTGGGGGGATGAATTTCCTCCATCACCATCAGGACCTGGAGCCAACCCACAAACCCCCAAATCCGAGGATTTCTGGCGCTGCCTGATGGTCCTGTACAAAATCAGTTTGAAATTCTTCAGCTGGGCTTCCTGACGTTTTCCTTCCTTAAAACACGCTCCTGGGGGACTGCTAATGGAGCAGAACAGATCCTTAAAACCCAACAGCGACGTGGAACAAGAGAATGGGAGCAGAGAACTCAGGCCAGCGGTGGTGGGCGGCTAAAACTGCTCCTTGGGCTCGCTGAGCTTCCTCCTTTTGGGCAGCATATCCTGGCTGGAGGAGAGCTCAGCCTGCTGCACCTGCAAGGGAAAAGCAAGGAATTACAGGAGCTCTGTGGTGTCAGAAAACCCTCAGCAGGACAGGGGTGTGGCACATCCACAGCCTCCAGTCCCTGGCCAGATGTGCTGGGCCTGCGGGAACATCTGGATGGCAGTTCCTGGCTGAAGGGACCAACTGCAGGAAGGGTGGGATGAATTCCTGCTGGGATGTGTTCCTGCTGCCACAGCTGCAGTAAGGAGCTGTGTCCATCAGGACCTGCAGCACGAGACAGAGTCATGGCTCAGACTGAAAAAGGGGAAATTGAGGTTGGAGATTTGGGAGAAATTGTTCCCTGTGAGGGTGGGGAGACCCTGGCACAGGTTATTCCATGGATTCCCCATCCCTGGAAGTGTCCCAGGCCAGGCTGGACAGGGCTTGGAGCAGCCTGGGGTAGGGGAAGGTGATCCTGCTCACGGCAGGGGTGCACTAGGTGGGCTTTAAGGTCCCTTCATCCAAACCATTCCATTCCAAGGCAATGCTGCTGGCTCTCCTGCACAGCCCCATTCCAGGAGCAGCCCTGGGAGAGGGAGCAGCACCCTGCAGAGGCTGCTCAGCACCCAACACCCTCCTGAGAGCTGTCCTGCTGCTTCTGGCTCTCCCAGGAAAAGATGACAATGAACCTTTAGTTCCACTGTCCTTTCGGTTATTTAAAGCAATTGTGTTTTGTTTAATAAATTTATTATTAAGTTCAGCAAAACCTCTTTGAAAAATACTCAGGGATAGCGAGCAAATGGAACAACCTTCTCTTGTTTTTGGTCACATCACTGAGTAAGACTGGTTAAAAACAGGGAGGGACCTTAGAGCTCATCCAGTGCCACTCTTGCCACTTTTCACTGTCCCAGGCTGCTCCAAGCCCTGTCCAAGCTGGCCTGGGACATTTCCAGCCCCAGCTGCTCTGGGAATTCCATCCCAGCCTCTCCCCACCTCACAGGGAACAATTTGTTGTGTAAAAGAAGAGAGAAAAATTCACCCCACAGGTTTTGGAGAAGGATCTGCCCCTCACTCAGCATTCCCAGTATTCCAAATACCTGGTGAAGGCCCCCAAAGCCTCCCAGAGCTGCCAAACTCACTCAGTGGAGGAGCAGCACAGACATGGGGCACTTTGGGTCAAATTCCAGCCTGGACACAACCTCTGCTCCAGCTGTGCCAGATGGGAAGGATTTGGGTTCCCACAAGCAGCCAGATTGACCTGATTAAGCAAATAAAAAGGATTTTTCTTGGAATGAAGGTTATCACTTTAGCCCAGTGTTTCCCAAGGAAACACTCAGTGAACTGTGCTGGGGATCTCTGCTGGCACAAACTCCCCCAGCTGATGGATCAAACCAGCAGGAAATTTGGCTAAATGCATTCCCAGCAGGATATCAACTAAAACAAAGGAATCTTTCTCAACCTGTGTTACCTGCATCAAATCAGCTTCTACCTCTCTGGACAGAATTCTTTTGGACAGTGTTGAATTGAATGGGAATTTTGGAAGCAATGAGAATTTCATTCTGTCAATAGCAAATGCATTCAAGCTCCAAGTTTAATTCACTGTTTGGAACATAAATGATGAAAACTAAATTAAAACTGATACTAACAATGCAGCTTTGGAATATCTTTCCACTTCTTGTCCTGCTCTCTGACACAATCAGCTCAGACGTTTTATGGGTCAAATGATCAACCTGAAATAAGAAAACAGATTTTGCCTTGTGATTGCAGCAAAAAATACACACTGAAGACCACAGCAGGGCTCAGTGCTGGGGCATTCACTGTTCTGTGCAGTGCCTGAGCCAAAATTGAAATATGGGAGTATTTAAACAGTGATTACCCATGGAAATCACAGCTTTTACAGCTGGGTGTGCTGGAGGGCCCTGGCAGAGAGAAGCATGTGATGGTTTTATACAGTAAATCACTCACTTACCTACACTTATCCTGTTTTAAGAAATCCTGAGGACCTGTGTGAAGAAGTCCTCCATGTATAAATGCCACCAATTTCTACATGCAGGGAATATAACCTGAGTTATAAACCTGAATTTTTAAGTTTTAATCAACTTATAAACAAGATTTGGTTTGTCAGAATTAGCAGTGGAATTCCTTTTAGGCAGTTTATTAACATGGAAATTACATTTCCCTTTTCACTCAGTAACAGTCACAGCATCTGTTTGTTTTGAGAGCTGCACTACAGAAGAACAGCCTTTTGTCAATGCTTTAGAATAGTTCTGGAAAACCCCAGGAAGGAAAATGTGAAGGCATTTTGCTGCTGGAAATAGTGACTGTGGGAAATAAGGCTTCAGTAGATTACCCATGAATCGTTCAAAGGAGAGAAGGAGCTTCACAGAAGCTCCAGTAAAAGCTGAAGATGACAGAGTTTTCATACCTGAGAATTAGAAACACAGGGGGGAGTCTGGATCCCTCCAGCTTCCTCTTCATGAGTTGAATTCTTTTCTGAAAGAAGGGAAGAGTTGGGGAGTTAAATGAAGCTGTTAACAGCACACCAACAACCTAGAGCAAACAGCACCTGTGCCTCAGGGAACACTTTATAACTGCTGGGAACAGCTGCTTCCAGAGGGCTCCAGTTCTCTGTGTCCAGCACATCCTTTACTCCAAGCTTTGAACTCACTCTTCAACTCAGTCACTTCCTCTCCCAAACTCCAGCTCACTGCAGTAGCCCAGGTTTACACACAGAATCTCTGGAAAGGTGGGTTTGATCCCCAGCTCCTTCACACACTGTCCTGCTGAAGGGATTTGATTCAAGCCTCAGGAGCCTGTTTTGTGCTGCAGGACAGGGAAAAGGCTGCTCTGGTCCAGCCCCAGCCACACCCAACCAGCAATCCCAGCTGCAGAGTCCCATCACTGCCTGCAGCTGCAGGAACAGGCCCCAGGGGGGAACAGGCAGTTCCAGGCAGCTTAGCTGCTGTTCCTAATTCATGCTGTTTTTCTAGGATACAGATAAAAACATGGAATGGTGAATGGGGGACCATGCATCAGCTGTGGAAACAACAGAAGAATTTCAGGGTGACAAATACGTTTCCCTGTGTCTCATGGTTCCTGTAAATAAAATGTCTGCCAGCTCCCTAGGGCACGAAATTTGCTGGAGTTTTGCATGGTCTTGGAACTTTTATGACTTTTTTGAAGAATCAGACACACCTTCATGTGGTTATTCCAGTTCTGCATCCTACTAGCATTGTCAAAACAAACATTTCTGATCTACATGTGCTGTTTCCAACACATTTCCACCATTATTTTTGAACAGCACGAAAATGGCAGCTGGTTTGGCAAAGCTGCACATTTTACTTCTCAAAAAACCCCAAACCAAACATTTGAAATACTTTCTGTACAGAAAATGGGTTCCAGATTGTCTGGATGCTTCTATACAGCCCCTCCAAGAGGAACAGATCAACAAGCAGCAATCCCTTCTGCAGTTTGTTTGGCAGCAAAGTTCAATCTTCAGGCCCCTGGGCTAAGTTGGGAAATGTGAACACAAACCATCCTCTGCTTTTCCTCCTGGTTTATCTAAAAATCTGAAAAGGAAGCTCCTGAGATCCCTGAGGACAATTTGGTGTCTCATGTTTTCAGTTGGAGACAGTCTGGGTCCACATCTTGGAGCTCTGATTAAAAGCCAGCAGTGGGGAGCTTCCAGGGCACGTTCCAGGGCTGGAGGAGCCAGGACAGTTATTTACTGATGGATTTTATTTACGTTGTTAGGAAAAACACTTGAGGAAACTCATTTTTGTGTGATTCATACTAACAAAAATACTTTGCTAGAACTTGTACCTATTAAAGTTCTCCTACAAGGAAAGGCTGAGAGAGTTGGGATTGTTCAGCCTGCAGAAGAGAAGGTTCCAAGGAGACCTCTGAGCCCCTTCCAGTACCTAAAGGGGCTCCAGGAGAGCTGGAGAGGGACTTTGGAGAAGGGAGCAGCCTGGGATAGTGGGAGGTGTCCCTGCCCATGGCAGGGGATGGCACTGCTTTAAGGCACAGCTTTAAGGTGCTTCCCAAGCCAAACCATCCTGGGATTCTATTCTGTGATGGCAAAAAAAGTTCACTTGCAATTATCAAAGTGCTCCAGTAGACAGGGAAAGGGCAGCAGGTCCCTAGAGCACAACCAGCTGGAAAAGGCACTCAAACAGGGAGCAGCATGGACAAACATAAAACAAATTCATAAAACAAAACCCAGTCTGGTGAAGTTACTGCAGCAGGAGCAGCAAACCAGAGGCATGAGCAGCTCCTTTTGGAGGTGTTCCTCAGGGGTTGCCAGAACACAAAAGTTCCTCTACCCCACAAGAGCCCTGAAGCTCTCAACTCCTCCACAGCCCCAGGCTGAAGGTGTGGGGTGCACAGTGGGATTCTGGGCTCCTGCAGGGGAAAAGGTGGCTGAAAGTGGGATTTCTGCTGAATTGAAGCACAGAAAGTTGAAATTAAAAAAAAAAAAACAACAAAAAACAAACAGACCCAGACCACTGGTTTTTGCACTAAGAATTCTGCTTCCCAGGTCTGCAATAATGAACACAACAGTACAAGACCTCTGCAAGCTTAATGTGCTAAGTATCATCAAAACCTAAATAAATCAGTAATTATTAGCAACAAAAATAGTAGAAAAAGCAAATAAAATTTATTTCTAAATATAAACCCCATTCAATTTACCTTATCTGATAAAATGGAACAGAAAATCTGAATTTTGAACAGTAAAATGAAAATATGTTAATCATGTTCTAACATGTTAACATTTGTTAACCAAGTGCTTCACAGAATGAAGCCCTGATAGAAAATAAAGGCACAGTCATATATGTGAAGAATATAATGAAAATTTGAATGAAGCCCTGATAGAAAATAAAGGCACAGTCATATATGTGAAGAATATAATGAAAATTTGAATATAGAAATATATATATATTGAAATATATATATTGAGAGTTTTGTTTAAGTAACATCAAGAAAGAGGCACAACTCAGAGACTTGAAAATTTTATAGAAATATTACCTTGAGCTTCTGAATTTTATAGAAATATTACCTTGAGCTTCTGAAGTATTTACATGATTCTTATCTTCATTATCCAAGACAGGATTCTCCTAGATTAAGAAACAGGTCTGTCACTTACTGCAGACACACAAGGCAGGAGGTTTCTACTCAGATGATTAAGGACACACTTATTAGATGGATTTGTGGTGGAATAAACTGAAATAAGTGATTGTGACATGAGAGGTTTCATCTGTGCCCTGTGCTGGGACACATGGCAGTGTCCCCATGGCACCAGCTGTCCCTCTGCTGCTCACCCTGCTGCTCCTCATGCACAGGCACTGCTTGAACAGTGACAGGCTGCAAACAAGAGCAGTAAAATTAAGGAAGAAATGGATTGAAGACATATTGTCCTGCTTAACCATGTCTGAAAATAGAGGGGGTTATGGCTTACACACAGTGAAACAGTAATGGCCTTTTTCCAGATGATATACCAGAAGAAAATATTCATAAAGCTACACAAAAAAAAGTCTTTGCTCTTACTTTCATGTCCTGGCTCTCTTCTTCTGGATCATCTCTGCTCACTCCACACACCTGGAGAAGCTCAGCAGTCTCTCCCTGCTTTAGGGTGTTCTTATCAACATTCTCCATGCGCTGTTTCTCAGTTGTAATTTTCAATTTCAGCATGTGAAAAGGCGTTGGCACTTCCCCCACGTTCAGGTAAATGGGCTCCATATTAAACATCAGCCCCTCATCCCTGGCCTCCTTGAACCCTGGAGGCTGGTAATCAGGGGGTGTAACTGCAGAGAAAATTCATTAAACATCTTAGAATGAAACTGGCTCTAGCAAAACTAATTTTAACTCTTTTCCCCTTTAAATACAGAGAGTTACTGCAAAAAACCTGTGTGGGGAGGAGAGTAATCAATATTCAATTTGGAGTAAATCAAGTTCTTTTCCTCTTTGTTAAAGCTCTTTGGAAGAGATTATAGATACAGAGAGAGAAAACAGAAGCTCCCATTTGTCATTGTAAGGCAGTAACGTACTCCAAAAGCAGAGCCAGGCGTTTGGACAGCCACCAAACTAGAACCAGGCTGGCAAACTATGCTATAGCCTAACATACTCTGGGAAACTCCAAGTGTTTTAAAACACAGCCAAATCCAAGGAAGTCAGTGCCAGGATTGTGTTCCTGCAGTGAGATCACGTCACTTCCCCTTGGGATTCAAAACTTGTGAGAAACAGCCACACGTGCAACAACCTCATTTAACAAGTCCCAGCAGCCACAAAGATTATACACTGAAATCTTCCTCTGGATTGCTTTCCAGAGTCTGAACACAGCTGGTAAAGCAGGGTGACATTACCCTCATCATAGTACAGGAGTTTCATGGTGAGGCAGACATCGTTGGGCAGAGGGCTCAGGTTCTGCATCAGGATGTAGATCTTGCGGAGGAGGAGGATGCTGGCCTTCTTGGTGTCTGCACAGGTGATGGTGGAGTCTGCCTTCTTGTCCTTGCTAAAAACAGATTATTTTTGATATAGAGTAAGCACTTTCTAGCATTAAGAGATGACTGTTTAACAGACTATGGAAATGAGCAACATCCTGTTATTGTCCAAGGTCTGAGACCACACACATTGCAATTCCTAACCCTGCCTGAGTCCCGCATGTTCTCCATCCCTTGGGAGATCAAACCCTAAGCCACAGACATCAGGAGAGTTTAGGGATCATCACCTGGCACCAACTGCTCTATCCTACATCACACAGTGCTTGAATACCCAACCTGACAGAGGTACTCATGAAAGCCCCAGTCCCATGAAGTCCTACCTACTTCCCTCAGTTAAAGTCACTCTGTTCACCTGGACACGAGGTAACGATGATAAACTCGGTGCCCAAGGGACTCTTGACACCCAACTCCAACACTTCCATGCTCCCACTGCACCAGAAGTTGACCCAAATCCCACCTTGATGCTATAACCTCTCCCTCTGTTCCCCAGCTCCTCACAGCTCCCAGCTGAGGCACCCGAGCACCTGCACAGCAGGGCAGGTACCAGGAGTTGTTTCCTTCTGTGTCCCTGTCTTCTGGAAGCATTCCCTGAACTGTGATGGGTTCAAACCCCTCACCCCTCTCCAGCTGGTTATTTCCTGCTGTGCTGAGGCCAGAGAAGTGGCTTCACACCTATTTTCAAATTAATCTTTACATGAATTTATGCTGTTTCACTAAGGCAACCTGGTGTGGCCAAGAGTTCACATCCCAGTGTTTGTTACAGCCCCTTTAACAGGTAAGGAACTAAACCCAGCCCAAGAGCCTTCAGCACTGCAATCTTTCCTGGTTTAATTTAAGGAGCATTTTATGCAGGAGGGAAGCTGGGAGGAGTTTGTCAGGTATCAATTAACTGTATTTCAATTAATTGCCTTAAGTAAGCCATTTCCTTGTAGCTGTGACTGAGCAGTAAATCCCTGTGGTGGAAGGGGGTCTGGAGGAGAGGTGGGGCTGTGTCCCCAAAGCTCCAGCAGGAGCACAGGGTGCCACTGCCCACAGCTGCTGCCAGAGGTGACCTGATCTCAGCACATGGAGAGCTGAGCAGGACCCTCATTTTAGACAAAGTTATGGGGGTCGAGTGGGTGTGAACTGGTGGGGTCCCCATCAACTGCTTCTCCCTGACTTCACTAAAAGGACCTGAACCTAACCCTGAATGTCTCCTTGACTTTGCCAGACTCACACAGGGGAAGTGAAGCTATGGTTTGGCCCAAAAGATGTAAAAACTGAACAACAAATTCAATTGTTTGGGTGGGAAGGGACCTTAAAGCTCATCCAGCCCCACCCCTGCCACAGCAGGGACACCTCCCACTGTCCCAGGCTTCTCCAAGCCCCGTCCAACCTGGCCTTGGGCACTGCCAGGGATCCAGAGCTGCTCTGGGCAGCTGTGCCAGCCCTCCCCAGACACACAGGGAGGAATTGCCTCTGTACATCCAGTCCAAACCTGTGCCCTGCCAGTTTCAACCCAGGGATCCCCTCCCCATGGCTGGGGATGCCCAGTGTCCTCAAACTGGGCTTATCTCAGCAATGGGAATTCCAGCACCACTGAGCTATGTATCAAAATTTAGCTTTCCTAAGTGCAGCTTACATTTCTATTGGGATTTTTGTGTATTTTCTATCATTTCTGCTAAATGAGGAAATCCATGTAACATTCAGTATCTTCAGATAAATAAATCTGGTGTGAAGCTTCAGCCCCCACACATGGAATACCTCAAAGATGCTGGTCACAGAGCATCAGACTGACATTGAGCATCATCTTCTGACTGGATATTAAAATTATGAACATAATCAGACAAAATTATTAACTGTATTTTAACAAGTCTAAGCTAGTAGTGTATGTTGATAAAATTACTCTCAAGATGCAGAACTTAAAAAGCAAACCCCAAACAGATCAAATGCAGAGTTCTGACATTCAGGTGTGTCCAAGGGACATGGAGCAGTCCCAGGGGCTGTACCTGCCAAAATCCAGGAGCGGCCCTTTGTGGGTGTACGTGAACTTGAAGTGGTAACACTCTGTGACTGTCTGCAAACAAAGCCAGTAATTATTAAACTAATCTTAAACACTCCTGCTGCAGCTCTCTCAGTAATCTGTTAACCTTTAAATAAAGTACCTACAGCCCAACTCCCATCCACTTACACGTGCTGAATACAGGTTCCTAATCCTCTAACAATTAACAATAATAATGCATAAAACTGCCAGCTAATAAAAATGATGATTCTGTTCCAGGAATCACCATGATAAAATGTTTTGCAATACCAGCTGAAGTTTTTAGCACAAAATATTCCAGTTTCAATCACTATGAAAATGTTTCACACAGGGAACAGATGTGGTGAAATCCAGTGGGTTCTGTGTTTCCCAAAGAAGTCCCATGAAGTTGTTAGGCAGACTTGGGATGAGATCTCATTCTGCAATGACATTTTGGTTTCTTGCACCAGCCTGAGAATAACCTGACACTGGATACTCAAATGCAATTCCACATGTGGCAATTCCCACTGACTCCGGTCATTTTTACACCTGGTATTTCAACATGTCCTCTTTTTATAAACGTGCACGTTAAATATTCCTGTTTGTACACACATTTCGCTATACCCATACTATCATCAGTCATCCTGTGAGATATTGCAGCAGATTTATAAACGTGCACGTTAAATATTCCTGTTTGTACACACATTTCTCTATACCCATACTATCATCAGTCATCCTGTGAGATATTGCAGCAGATTTACCTGAGGATCGTCCAGCTGGGTACAGACCTGTATTTTTAACGAAAAGAGAGGAATCGGAATCAGACCTGCACATTCCTCAAAGGTCATCCCCTAAAAATGTGTCCCTGCCTTTCAGAGATACTCACTGCTAGGACAATATGTCTCAGCTGTCAGGAACATAAAGAGAGAAAAAAAATAACATTAAATATATTCCATTGCCCATTTCTGCTTCCCAAACTGCTTTGTCTCTCTAACTCTGGAATCCAACACAGGCAGCACAGGCCTGTTGGAAGAAAAGCCTCGTCCTTTTCACTCCTCTTCTGCGGAGGAGAGGACTCAGCTGCAGAAGAAAACACCCACAGATCCCCAGCTTTCTGTGCTGCTGTTTACAAGGATTTTATGCAGAAATGCCTGTGCATCCCACACTGCAGCTGACTGAGCTCAGCTACTCCTTGAGCAGTCCTACAACTACACTGGCAGATAATGGATTTGAATAAACATTTCAATACAACTGAAATGAGACTGGAAGACTTACATATTTCTTCTGCAAGGCATCATAGCATCCTAGCATCCTGCAAAAACCAAGTAATATTTGCCATCTGCTACTACTTTTCACTTGTTTCTCACTAAATCAAGTAGCACCAAAAAATGAAACTCTTGTGTTCACTCTTACTGTATTATAGCAATAAATAACACTTACTCCATAATTCCATCTCATTAGCAGTGATACTGCTAATAGCAGTAATGACTTTGTAACACCAAATCACTCCAAGCTCTTGAAAGAATAATTAAAAATATAATCTGTAGATAAAGCATCTATCAGTAAAAACATATTTCAATACTTCAGGCATCTTCCAACACAAGTGTTCATTAATTAGGGGAGCAACTTGGTGTTGTTGCAGGTGTCCCTGTCCATGGCAGAGAGATGGACCAAGGTGAGCTTCAAGGTCTCTTCCAACACAATCCATTCCATGATTTCATCATAAATCAGTAATTCAGCTGAACAGCAACACTGCTGAAGCACAAAGGAGTTATTACCTTCATTCAGACATTGACATTTCCTTTTTATGTAACACCCAAACAGGGAATCAAAACTTTCCCTATTTTTTTTTTTTCTGACTTTCAATTACCGTCAACAAACAAAAATTGGGCTTGGTACTACAGGAATACATAACTAAGGACTTAGAGAGGTTTCTAAAAAGCAAGGAGAGCACCCAGAACAGACCTTGCAGTTATTGTGAGCAGAAAGAAAAGCAGAATAAGCAGCTCAGCCCCAGGTGACACAGTCACACCCAGCTGTGGCAGTGCTCAAGCAGGCAGACTGTCACTGGCAGGCACAGCTCTGCTTTTGAGCAAGCCTGACAGTCCCACTCTCTTACACAATCTGTGAGCAAGACCTTCAAATCTGAGATGCAAAATGGTGACACCGAATCTCCTGATCAACTAGGGAGGAACTACTGGTTACTTTTGCATTTCTGTGCACCCTTGAGTACTCATGAGCACCTAGAGGAATGAAGTTTACAAACACATAGCATTAGATATTTAGCATTTACATAGCAAATATAAAGTATAGTCACCCTGCAAACAGAGATTTGTGCTCTCCTAAGCCCTGAGCTGAAAAACCTTTCTGGAAATACGATTGTTACATCTATGACACAAACGTGGGCTGCTTGCTCACAGCAAGAGAACTTTTTGTCTCGTATCTGCAAACAACCAGGAAGGAACCTCTGAGCACTTACATGCAGAAGAAGTGTTACCTGTGTGCTGGAATCAACCTACCATTTCACCAGCTGGGTAGAGCCAGGACAGTTTTTGTCTTCCCGCAGAATTTTGACACAGACATCTCAAAAAAACCAAAAAACACACTTATATACATTTACCCAGGACAAAGTGCAAGGAAAAGTTTGTCAAAAAAACAAAAAACACATTTATATACATTTACCCAGGACAAAGTGCAAGGAAAAGTTTGTCAAAAAAACAAAGAAAAACACATTTATATACATTTACCCAGGACAAAGTGCAAGGAAAAGTTTGTTTCCTCAAAGAGCATATTAAGAAGAGACTAAAATTAACATTACTGACAAGTGTGAACATGGTTTTAATGCTGAGTTAGCAGCAGTAATAACAAAATTTAATTAATTCATTAGTGAAATTTCCATTAGAGCACTGAAATGGTGTCCATTCATTAAAAAGACCAAGTGGCATTAAAAACAACTCCATGACAACAGCTTTTTGCAATCTATCACGGAAACAGCCTGTTACCATCCATGTATCTGGTTCCATAGGCACTTTCAGGAAAGATTCCCCTCAGGTACGTGATGCAGGACACTGCCACTGCCAGGAGCCTCTTCACCAGCATCAGGGATTGCTGCTCTGTGGCTATTTTCTTGGGAAATACAATTGCACTCTGAAAAACCACAGAAAGAAACCAATTAAACCTACAGCAACAGACCCGTACGGTTGTCAATCCTGTTCAATGTCTTAATTTTAATTTAATTGAAAAGTATGATATTTGTGGTTTATAAAGTTAAACACATTCCTTTCACTTGGTGTTACACTATTTGTAGCATACAGCTGGTTTCTACCAAGCACATGACAACAAAATTCAGATTACTTTTCTTTAAGTTTTTCTATATATTCTTTATAATTAAAAGACTGAATTAGCCTATCTTCATGGAAGAAATATCACAGAGCACCTGTGATATTCCAGCCAAAACCCCCCATTTTTTCCCATTACTCTGCTGAAATACACAAACAAAACTGTACCACAGAATTCCTTTGCTTCTGAGCAGTTGCCATTCTGCAGAGACTCCTGTGTGTGCCTGTGAATGAAACACCTGCATTAGCACCTGGATGAGGAGAAGGGCAGCAAGCCCAGCCTGCAGCTCTCCAGCTTCTCCAGGGCATTCCCTGGATTTACAAACACCTCCTGCAAAATTCGCCAGCTCAAACATGTAATTTTCATGGAACAGAGTAGGACAGTTCATCATCCTCCGTATCAGATGCTTGATTTTCACAGCAGCACAGGCCCCCCCTGAGGCTACAGGATGCGGATGCAATAATTAGTATATTTATATCTGTACTTATATGAAATATGAACCTCCAAAAGCAATTTTCTTCAGTGCTAACTGGCATCCAACCTACAGGATTTTCAAAGAACTTTATGAAAAGGCTCCTCACATTTCAAACACCCCCAGACTTGAGTTGTTTCCATCTGTAATTTAAATGAGTATGGAAGAAACAGAATCCTGACCACCATGAGCCTGACTCCACAGAAGCCTTCCACCCCAGTTCAGGACTATCAAATGCACCCATGCCTGAGGCCATGGAAAACACCTTTCCGAAGTTAGAAGGGAGGTCCGGATCATGAAGAGCTCCCCTCAGCAATCCTCCATAAACCCTCCCGATCACAGCACGCAGCCGAGTTCGGCCCCGCTGTGAGGAAGGAGCCGCTTCCCAGCAGCCTCAGCCCAGAAAACGCCACCTGCTTCCTCGAGGGAAACTGAGGCAGGGGGAAGATGCAAGCGCGAAGACAGAACACTGCACAGCAGCGACGGCCAACAAAACCTCGGCTGTGAGGGCGAGGTGAGGTGTGGGTGAGTAGTGAGATAATCGACGAAAAACTGCAGGACAATGTGAGGTGAGAGGTAGATGAAGGAACCGCCAGGCCTCACCCTCACGGCACCTTTTCCCGCCCTCGCCCTCAGCAGGCTCTGCGGAGGGGCCGTGCGCAAACACAGGGGGCGGGGCCCGTGCTCTGCCGCCGCCGCGCTCTTGGCGCCGAGGTGGCGCGCGAGCCGCGCATGCGCAGCTGCTGCCCCTTCTCTGAGGGGACCGGGAATTGTGGAATATTCTGGGCTGTGAGGGATCCGCAAGGATCATCCATTCCAACCCCTGGCCGTGCGCGGACATCCCAACAGCCCCACCCTGTGCAGCCCTGAGAGTGCTGTCCAAAGGTTCCTGGAGCTCTGGCAGTCTTGGAGCCGTAACCATTCCCTGGGGAGTCTGAGCAGTGCCACCACTCTCCAGGGAAAGAACCTTTTCCTGATACCCAACTTAAACTTCCTGACACAGCTCCAGCCATTCCCTTGGGTGCTGTCCCTGGTTACAGGGAGCTGCCTGCATCGTGAGGAAGGCACGGATCCCTGGGGTGTCCTCTCAGTCTCCTCCAGCTGGACAGACCAAGTGACCTCAGCCGCTCCTCCTATGGCCCCTCCAGACCCTTCAACATCCTCGTGGCCTCCTTTATATACTCTGTAATGGCTTAATGTCTTTTGTACGTTACCAAAACTGCACACAGGATTCAAGGTGAGCCCAGCCCGGAGCAGAGCAGGACAATCCTCTCCTTCGCCCAGCCAGCGATGCACAGCTTGATGCCCCTCAGGACACAGCTGACACGTGTCCAAAGGTGACACTTTGGGCTGCCAGGATATGCTGTGATCCAACCAGCCACCGACCGGGACCCCCAGATCCTTTCCCAGCCTCTCCTTCCAGGGTTGCCCTGTCCCAGGTGCAGAATCCAGCACTTGCCTGTGATAAATGTCGCACAGTCCCAATGCCTGGTGTCCATTCCAGCCCTCACTGGCACAGGGACAGCACAAAGGCACCAATTGCCTGGCCAATGGATTCAATCTCTTCGTTGGTTGCCTCAGCTAGAGACTTAGTTGCCTTAAGGAATCCGTGGCCAACAAAATCCCATGACTTCCAAGAAAACTTTGTAACTTATTTTGTAGTGTCTGGACAAATTTATGGCCTCTATTCTTTCCAGACCTATTGTCCATTGCCATTTGCCTAAAATAAAGCTTAAACACGTAGCTTTCTTTTGATCCAACTGAAGATCCCAGAATGGTTTGGGCTGGAAGGGATCCTAAGGTTCACCCAACTATGGGCAGGTTTGGGATTTTCTGGAGAAGAAAAGGGTTTGGGAAGACCTAATTGTGACCTTCCAGTACCCGAAGGGAACTTACATGAAAGATGGGGACAAGGCTATTTGCAAGAGTCACAGGACAAGGGGGAATGGGTTCAAATTGACAGAGAGTAGGTTTAAATTAGATATTGGACAGAAATTTCTCCCTGTGAGGGTGGGGAGGCCATGGCACAGGGTGCCCAGAGAAGCTGTGGCTGCTCCTGGATTCCTGGAAGTGTCCAAGACCAGTTTGGACGGGGCTTGGAGCAATGTGGGACAATGGAAGGTGTCCCTGCCCACGGCTGGGTGAAGTTTAGGATCTCTTCCAATCCAAACCATTCTGGAATTCTGGAATTCTTTCACAGATATTGGGGGTTGATTTAAGGGCTGTGAAATTACCACTTGAATCGGGTTTTGTGCAATGTGTGGATGATTTGTTGTTAACAAGCAATGATAAGAAAGCCTTTACATTAGACGCTATAATTTCTATATTGCCCTGGGATAAAATGGCGCATTCAGACTGCAGCTGGGCCAAAAGAAAGTCACGTATTTAGGCTTCATTTTGGAAAAATGCCATAATACTTGGGCTAACACACGTGGGAATAACCCAGGTGAGTTGCACCGGGTGATCTTTGGGGTCCTTTCCGCCCCTCATCACTCCGTGACCCCGCAGTGCCACGTCCGTCCCCACAGCAGCGGCCGGAAGCGGCCGCGCCGTTGCTATGGCAGCGGCCGGAAGCGCCTTGGCGCGGCGGGCGCGGGCCCGGAAGTGACG